AGAGAGAGAGAGAGAGAGAGAGAGAGAGAGAGAGAGAGCCTGTTTGCTAGGATTACAAGCATGTTGTCGGGATTAGGCTTAATGTAAAGAGAAATAAATTTAGAGACACACTTTTGGATGTGTGTGGAACTTAGTTGTGTGTTTTTAAGTGTGACTAAGTGTTATATACAGAAGTTACAGGAAATTTTGTAAAAGTCAGTTCTCTACTGATACTATATGGGTCCTAAATCAAACCCTGGTCTTTGGGCTTGATGGCAGGCCCCTTTTATCTGATGAGCCATTTCACTGATGCATTTTAGGCATTATTTTGTTTGTTCTACCCCTCATTTTTTTTGAAAAGTATTAAGAAAATGCTATGGGGTATATGTATGTAAAGCTATTTATGTGAAAACATTCTTTATATTTTTAATACATTAATGTATTGAAAAGTCCAAGACTTCCAGTCAGCTTTGCAACTGGGTTGCAGTTTTCTTCTGGTGGTTCAGTGGTACTTTGATCATGTGGGAGATACTCAGTAAAAAAAGCATCTACCTAGTTCTAGGACACATCAGTGACCCCCTTCACTGGACTACAGTCATAGGATGTTTTGTCTAAAGTAAAACTTCAGTTGAAAGGGGTCAGGGTGGGGAGACTGAGGAGCATTGTCAGTTCAGCTTTTCATTGCTCATAGCTGATTGTTTTGAGCTTGCTAATGAACAATAGTTATTAATCTGTTCTCACTAGAAACCAAACCTAAACTTGAAACTTTTATTGTCTAAGTTACAATAATAGGCGAAGTCGATCTGGAACATACAGCTCAAGATCAAGAAGCAGGTCCCGCAGTCACAGTGAAAGCCCTCGAAGACATCATAATCATGGTTCTCCTCACCTTAAGGCCAAACATACCAGAGAAGATTTAAAAAGCTCAAATAGACATGGTCATAAAAGGAAAAAATCTCGGTCTCGATCTCAGAGCAAGTCTCGGGATCACTCAGATGTTGCCAAGAAACACAGGCATGAAAGGGGACATCACAGAGACAGGCGTGAAAGATCTCGCTCCTTTGAGAGATCCCATAAAAGCAAGCACCATGGTGGCAGTCGCTCAGGACATGGCAGGCATAGGCGTTGACTTTCTTCCTCTGACACTGCATCATTGGTTTGTGGTTGTGCAGTGTGATGTATGGACTCAATCAAAACATGAAGCAAACTGATTAGGAATTGATTTATTAAAATTGTCTAGGTCTCTAGAAACACTGAGGACATTTTCTTTGGAAAAGAACTATGTTAAGGTTTTTTGCACATTAAAATGCCCTAGCAGTATCTAATTGAAAACCATGGTCAGGTTCAATTGTACTTTATTAGAGTTGTGTATTGTTTATTGCTACAAGAACTGGAGCGTGAATTCTGTAAAAATGTATCTTATTTTTATACAGATAAAACTTGCAGACACTGTTCTATTTAAGTGGTTATTTGTTTAAATGATGGTGAATACTTTCTTAACACTGGTTTGTCTGCATGTGTAAAGATTTTTACAAGGAAATAAAATGCAAATCTTGTTTTTCTAAATGGCTTCAAATATCTTATTTAAATTGCTAAGAAGCAAGATTGTAGTGGTAAGATGGCTTTGTGCTGATTTCTGAAAGGTGTTTGGGATAAGGTCTCGCAGAATGTAATGGTCATTGTGTATAGAGGCAAAGCAAATAGGAGTGGCCTGATATGCTACTGAACCACTAAAATGCTAAACCTGATTTGAGCTTAATGTATCAGAAGATAATTTTAAATCTTAGTTATTTGTAATGTGAAAAATCACACCATAAAGCTAAGACCTATATGGAGGTCTTAAGTGGTTTGGCATTCCTGACATTCAGTGGTACAGCTTAATCTAGGATTGTCAAATTCATTAATGAGATAAAGTATTGATTACAAAGACATGATGAAACAATTCATGCACAAATGAATATCCAGTTACTAGGGATGTACCGGGCAGTGGTGCACACCTTTAGTCCCAGCACTCGGGAGGTAGAGGCAGGCAGATCTCTGTGAGTTCACGAGACCAGCCTGGTTCCAGGACAGCCTCCAAAGCCACAGAGAAACCCTGTCTCGAGAAAAAACAACAACAAAAAAGTTACTAGAGATGCATTGGCAAAGGATTGGGTTATTTTTAAACATCAAGACTTCAATGTATTGTATTGTGTAAGAGGAGGCAGGTGTGGTCAAAAGACCACCTTATGCAGTCAGATCTGTGGGTTCGAGTCAATGTTACCAGGTGGTGAGCACATATATCCTCTTGAGATCACCTTATTAAAGGTCAGCTACAGACAGGTTGATAGGCCCACCTCTAGGAAAAATAGAAGACAGTCTCGGAAGAAAGGAATGTGAATATACTTTCGTCAAAATATTTTTATTTAGTCTTTGAAATTGTGCATTTATACAGTGTACTTTGACTATATGCATCATTATTTTCAACTCTCCCTAGTACTGTCCCCTCCTCCACTCCAGTCTCCATCTCAACTTCATGTCCTCCACTTTTATTCTTGTCATTGTTGCTATCATTGATACCCCTGCATCCAGTTAATGCTCATATACATGTATGGGGTGGGGTGCCATTTTGTCTATTGACAGTGTCCCTTGCCTTATAGACGCTTTTCAGTTTGATATGGTTTTATTTATTGTCAATCTTAGTGCCTTCTCTGTGTTCTGTTAAAGAAGTTGTCTCCTGTGCCAGTGCCTTAAAGAAAAAGACATCGTAATCTGAGTTGTGGGTGTGTCTTAACTACCTAATCCTTTATATAACCTTACAGGTTCATTACTTCATCCCCTTATTGGGAAAACTGCACACAGGATGTTATCCAAACAGCCTCATAACTCTGGTCTACTTAGCAGTAATGTGTTAGGACCCAGTCAGTATATTTCTTTAGTAATCTCACCCCTTTTGTGTCTACTCACACTTGAATGTGAACTGTAGAATTGCTTTCAGGCCACTTCTAAAAGTTGTGTCTATGAAGCAGGCACTTAATTTGTTTGCTTGAGCAGAGGCGGAGTAGGGAGGGAGAAGGTGGGCAGGGTTGAGACAGGGACATGTAGGTGTTCTCTGGCTGGCCTGGAACTATATATACTGGTCTAACCTCTAACTTGCAGAACCCTATCAGTCTCCCCCAGTACCAAGTTGTGTACCACTCTATGCCCAGCTGAAATGGATTTAGTGTTTACACTTAGGTCCCAACTCCATGATTATGTTTATATGCATATAATCCAAAATCTGAGAACACCCAAACACTTGTGATTCATATTTGGAATTTTTTTCTTTATCTTTTTATTCCCCCTTGTAAAGACAAATCTCATGTGTAGTTCAGGCTGACCTTGAATTCACAGTCCTACTGCAGCTACCAAGTACTGAGAGGATAAGATGTTACAGCATTTCTGGTTAAGGTTTTATTTCAAAGCCATTTTAGACAACGACTATATTTTAAAAATGCGCAGACCTTAACTCAGATTCACCAAATGTTATCATTCCCTCTGTCTTTTCTGATATTTTGGAGATGTCCCTTTATCTGTAAGTATTTAAATCTGTATTCCATATTAAAAAAAAAAAAAGCTGTTTTCTATCCACACCATAATTACCCAAGTTTGGGGTCTATTGACCTTATCTAACCACAATCATTTTTCTTATAATGCCCCATTTTCTGGTTTGGTATGTAATTTTGAATAGTGTTTGCCTGAGTTCTTCGATGTTTTGTTTTTCTGTCTCTCTCTGTGCCCCCCCACCCCCCAGGGTTTCCCATGTAGTCATGGCTGTCCTGGAACTCGCTCTATAAATCAGGTTGGAGTCAAATTGAGAAATCTACCTGCCTCTGCCTCCCAAGTGCTGGGATTAAAGGTGTATGCCACGTATTTATTTAGAAATAGGGTCTTGCTGTACAGCTACCCTGAAATTCTTGATCCTGTCTCTCAAATGTTGATGTGTGACAGACCTTCTAGCTCCTACTTTTATTATTTTTATTTTAGACAAGATCTCAGGTAATGCAGGCTGGTACTTGCTAGCCAAGTTTCCATCTCACAAGTGCCAATGATTCCAGGCACCTACCACCATGCTCTGCCTTCATATTTAATTGACAGTAATTAAACATGCTTATGAGGGATGGTAGCACTCAAATATGTGTGGTGATAAATATTGTTTATGATTTAATAAAGCTTGCCTGAGGATCAGAATGCAAAGCTAGCCACAGCCATAGAGGCCAGGCAGTGGTGGTACACACCTTTAATCCCAGCAGCACACTAATTAGCTACAGATGCTGGGTGGTGGTGGTGCAGACCTTTAATTCCAGCAATAAAGAGGTATATAAAACAGGAGCTCAGGGTCTCATGCCCTATTCAGTCTCCAGCCACGCTGAGGATAGGATTTCCTCAGCTTTGGTAGAGGTAAGAACTCTAGTAGTTGGCTGCTTTGCTTTTCTGATCTTCAGCTTGAACTCCAATATCTGTCTCTGGGTTTTTATTATTCGAACTACAAATATGTATATACGTAACAGTGTACAATGGCCAGATCAAAACATTTGGCACACCTGTCACCTCAGGATCTTGGTATCTTTCAATGAAAACCAGTTGTTTTTAATATCCACCAACTTGGTTTTACTTGATACTACGATTGGATTTGAGTTTCATGGTTTGGGTAGGAATACAGTGGGAATGGGTCAGCTCAGTGCATTGTTTTCGTCCATGGTGATTTGCCCTGTTAGCTGCTGCTGTTAAACTTACTTCAGTCTCTGCTTAAGGTGCTGACGGTGTTATTTATGAAAACATTCATTTCCCTTTTACCATTAAGTTTTGTGGGGTCAAAATTTAAGATGATACTGTGTAGGATTATAGTCTCTTTATTCAAAAAGACACCAAGGCAAGACACAGGCCAGAGCTAAGTTATAGAACCCAGCAAGCACAGCCAGAACAAAAAAGGGCCAGGGTCCCCACGTGCAGCCCCTTAAGAAGCTCCCTTACGTCACCCAGGATTCCCTTCACCACGCCCTTATGGGCGAGTCCCGGGTCCACCTGGTACCTGTCCCAGGACTATTGGGCGGGGCTAGGGTGTCTCCCTACAATACTGTTTACAAATCTGTCTACTTGCCGGAACTATAAACCAGTATGTCCTGAATGTGACAGGACCCATGCTCAAGAACATCAGATTTTGTTGCCTTAGAAAGACTTGCACAAGATTAAGCCAGTCAACATCCTAGCACCGAGCAGGAAGGACTTGCTAGCCCCCACCTCTCCCAGAGGCACCATTCATTGATGGATGGCTGTTGAGGGAGGGAAGAGTCAGTTTTCAGGTTGAGGCCCTTGTTACATGGACTAGGCACCAGTGGATGGCATACTCAAATAAATGGGCTGCATGAATTGGACACATGGGTTATTAAAAAACAAGGAGACAAAGTTGGGAGGTGGGAGTGAGTGGGCAGTGGATCTGGGAGGAGTGGGGGTTAACATGAAATTCTCAAAGAACATTTTTGTAATTCCAGCATCCCCTATATCCGTTGCATTCCACAGGATGAGTTTTCCCTTTTGTATTCCTTATGTTGCTGCAGTAAAATACTTGACAAAAATAATTTAAGGAGGGGCTGGAGAGATGGCTCAGTGGTTAAGAGCACTGGCTGCTTTTCCAGAGGCCCTGGGTTCAATTTCCCAACACCAGCATGGCAACTCACAACTGTAACTCCAGATCCAGGGGATCTGGTACCCTTATACACACATACATGCAGGCAAACAAATAAAATAAATATCTTTAAAAATATCTTAAGGATTTATTGGGTTTATGCTTATAGTTCCGGGGAATCAAGTCTGTCATACCCATGAAGGTTGGGGAAAAAGAAGGCAGCTAGTTACATTGCGTCCACAGGAAGAAGAGAGTAATGAGAAACTGTTTAGTTTGCTTTCTTTATACAGTCCAGGATCCCAACTCATGCATTGGTACTGTTCACATTTAAGGGACATTTTCCTACGTCTTCCTCATCTAGATAGCCATTTACAGACATAACCAGAGATGTGTTCCCATGGTGACTCTAAATCCCATCAAATTGACTAATCAATTGCCTCCCCCATCTGGTAGAGTGGGTATAAGTATTTCAGTGTGGCCAATAGAATACATTGTAACAGTTCTTTGAGGGGCAGTGGTGCTAGAATTGAATTCAGGACTTGACACACATAGGCAAGCATTCTATCACTGAGCTACAACCTTAGCCCTAAAATAGTCCTTGTGTTCCACTAATGATGAACTTTATTTTTTTTTAAACATAGGAAACCAAGCAAGTTGATTAATGCATGCAGTGTATACTGTTCAGGAGAAACTGCAGAAAAGAACTCTGAACAGTGGCCCAGAGCTTAGGTTCACACTGTATCTTTAAAGAACAGGAGGATTTTAGAGAGGTGGCAAAGTGGACATTAGGTTTTACTTTTGGCTTTCACAGGTAGGGCATTATGAAAAGTGAGTATGGAAATTAATGAAGTAAGGCATACAGAACCCTCTGATGTCATATCTGAGCTGCTAAGAGGGCTTTTTCTGTGTTTAATTTCTGTTG